TTATTTGAGTGGTAAAAATTGATTGCTGAAAGAATTAAAAATATTGGCCAGCTCAATAATTATCTATAGAGATTTGCGTGTAAATATAAATATTTAGACATTGTCATTGAAGTGATGCATATTAACATGAAAATTTTACGCCAATTATGAAATAAAATTTTTATTCTTTTTTATCCAACAATGTCATTTTTGAAATTATAGTAAAAATAACACGAAGAATATTAATATTGCCTGTTTCCTGGGAGTAATATTGTATTTGATTTATAAGGGCTAATGGTCGTAAATTGGGCGGAATTTTGTATTAATAAACTACTCTTCTAGGAATATATAGTTTATGAAAACAAGAGAAATCGGACTATCGAAGATTTTATCAATTTTAAAAGTGATTAATATATTATTAACATATTACATTAAAAAAGAATATAAAAATAAAAACGAGGAACAGAAATTTAATGAACTTATGAAACACTAAAACTAAAGAACATATCGTTAAAAAGTTGTATTAATTAAGATATCATTTATATAAAAAGAGTTAAAACAATCGTTTTAATTTTCTATCAAAATGTGAACTTCTGGGCAGGTATAATCAAATTATTTAAACACAATAAAACAGACAAATTAAAGAAAATATCACAAGATACTATATATCTCCAGAGTTTAAATATAAAATGGGAATTGTCTCATTCAATTTATTAATTTGTCGCTAACATGAGGCTTTGAATAGTAAAAAACAAATAAAATGGGGAAATATTAATTTGTATTTATATTTAGAAAACGCATGTAAAGTTGTTGTGTATTATATTTACTTTATTTAACAGTTTGTATTAATAAACTATTGTCTTATTAATATCGTATCAAAAACTCTACAACTTTACCAACTACTCAATAAAAATATTGCAATGTGTTGTAGTTTTATTATTTAACCCCCTGTTATTTTTAGAAGTCAATAGCCGATATATTTGTAAAGCTTTATCTCATTTTCATTTTACAATATCAACAGATATTTTCTGAAAATTTGTTGAGAAGCTAGTCATAACTTTTAACTTTCTTCAATCAATAATAGACTTTTTCAACGATAGTTGATACTGTTATAAACCCATAAAATTATTTTGAAGGAAATTCACACATTTTCAGGCAATATGTTATTATATTAAGTTGATTATATGGGTGACTTTCTTTTCAATTACAATTTTATTTATAATTTATTTTAAAATGCTGTTAATTTGGACATACAATTGACTAAAATTTTAGGGAGAAACGAAAGATTTATTTTTCGACAATAATACTTGTGAATTTTTTGTTAAATGCTTTTTAATTCTCATTGGTAGGTGTTGCTATAATGATACACCTCGTACCTTTCATGATATATAAGTACTGGAAGATTCTTCATTAACAGAATTTGCCAGTCATTTTCGTAGTTATTTCCCATGATCATGGTATAACGCCCAAAAAATTTTCAGGGCAATTTAAAAAGAATCTAATAAAAGTATAAGGTAGTGATCAATATTTCTAGGCCATGGTACCATGAGATTACAACATGTATCACAACGAGGTTTCGCTGATTGCCATTAAGACATTTTTATGGGTTTTGTATAAAATACTATACAATGATCAACTTAACTTAACTCGTTAATCTTTATAAATTTTTGTTAATTTGGTCTTGTGTTATGATCTCTGTTATTATGCAAGTGGTATTTTTGAATACTTTTCTATTTTGAAAATTTATATAAGCATTGTAAACACATTTTATTTATTGATCTTTCACGCCTGCTCTACTTGAAAGACTTTTTAAATCGATATTATTCCATTTACATTTTTAGCTGAAAGATGAACTTTATTCTATCTAAGTTTTTCTCCAGAACATAAGTAAAAAACTGAGATAACATCAGTTTGCTTTAATATGTATAAATACAGAGCTCTTTTCTAGAAAAAATCTAATTTAGAATAATAAATATAAATTAAAGAAATTCCTTTTATAATATTTTTGTGATAATATATATTACACTCAAGAATCTAGTCCAGCATAAAAAATAAACTCAATTAACAAAGGATCCAAAAACATATGGGTTGAAAACCTGTTATTAAAGTGTAAACAGAGCGGCAGAATAGTTTTCAATGATCCTGCGGCTGGTTCACCGACCGCAACCTTGTTACGACTTACATCTTATCTACTTTTCATTATTCAGAGCCTGGACTCTTCATCCTGAAAAACATCTGAGATAGTGACGGGCGGTGTGTACAAGCTACAGGGACTTATTCAATATCCATTGTTGATACACACTTACTAGGAATTCCTCTTTCGTATGTGCCTTACAGCACATAGTCCATCTGAGCACCTTCCTGTCTCTCTCTCTACCTGCTATTGTATTGCGCGTGCAGCCCAGGGCATCTGAGGGCATCTCGGATCTGTTATAGCCTTTTCCTTCCTGTTCCGTGCGGAACATGTCCAAAAGATCTCACTCATTCAACCATTTAAGGTCAAAGTCATCCCATCAATTTCCAACGACCATGCACCACTCCTGTATTGCTCGTTTCTACACAATACTTGGCCCTGGTAAGTTTCCTCGCGTTGAGTCAAATTAAGCCGCACAATCCACTCCTTGTGGTGTAGCTCCGTCAATTTCTTTAATTTTCACCCTTGCGAGCATACTATCCCCAGAGCCCGAACTCTTAAGATTTCTCCCTGCCCACTGTGTCCAATGAGCATGTCGGCATCTTTTACTGCTGGAACTACTGCGGTATCTAATCACTTTCGATACTCCAGCCTTCGTCCTTGATCACCGAATGCCTACAAGAACATCGCCTTCGCCTCGCTCAGTCCACCAGGGGTCTTGGCATTTCATCTCTCGCCCTGGTATACTATGTTCCCCATCGGCTCCTCCATCATCGCACTGTGAGACCTCGCATCTCTCTTTGCCCTTCTATGACTACGGACTTTTTAACTGCAGCATCTCTCATACACACTCTTGGAGTCGGTATTACCGCGGCTGCTGGCACCAAACTTGCCCTCCAATTCTCCTATCCCTCTTTACAAGATACTCATCTTCACGTCTCATAACTGCCTCCTGCAAAGAGTGGGCAATTTTCGCGCCTGCTGCCGTCCTTGGACGTGGGAGCAATCTCTCAGGCTCCCTCTCCGGTACAAAACCCTAATTTCCCGTCAACCGTCACTGTCTTGGTAGTCCATTACACTACCAACTAACTGATAGTCCTGCGTCTTATTCTGCCTTCCCTTAGCTACATTTTCACGTAGTTATCTACACAGCCAGACTAAATCATCGCAGTTTTACTGAGCTATTCGTCCCTGATTGCGGAAACATGCATGGCTTAATCTTAGAGACTAGCATCTACGTCAGGCAGAATCAACCTGGTGCACGTGTGTC